TGCCAGTTGTGAGTTGCAGGGTGATATGGCTGCTGGCTGGTATAGGATGAATCTAGCATCAGCAACATCATTGTTTTCCTCTAACCTTAATGAAAAAGGACAAGGCAGCTGAGGAGGAGTTCAAGTGAGGAGAGAAATTCTGGAGACAGAGCACAAGTACCAGGGTCCTGAACAGGATGCAAGCCAGTGAATACTTTTTCATGTAGGATTTAAATAGAGAAACCAGTCTTCAGTTCCATAATTCCATAATTACTGTAATTACTGTGACCTCTGGAAAAAATGCTCATGGATTTGGCTGTACTGCAACTGTGTCCATAAGCAATATTAGCAGAGACAAATTTACACAGCCAGACGATACCCCGGCATATTCTACGCCACTGCTGTTGGGTGACATAGCAAATAATCTGATGCCAATTTCCTGAGAGAGGGGCTTTTACTTCACATGTCTGATACATGTCTACCAAATACCCATCAAGACATTCCTGTAACTCAACAAGCAGGCAGCGGCTCTGAACAAGTGAGAAATTAACTAGTGACTGCATCTTTTTTGGACTTCTGTCCATTTTAGGACGAGACAAAAAAAGTGTATAAAATAAAGTGTTTTTTGGAGATCTAGATGGTTCCGATCCTTTTATCTTGATTTTTCTGTCCCATGCAAGTTCAAAGACGGAACAACAGTCTCCATAACTGAAAGGTATTTGCTAAGAGTGAAAATGTTTGCCTGGGAGAAACAGGTCTGGGGGGAAACAACGATATTTACTCTTTGTAAATCCTAGATTAACTCTCTGTTCAGAACTTAATTGTATTAACAGAGATTGCAACGAAAAAGAACGAGCGATACGTCCATCATCCTTTCTGCCCGACTGCAAACGATGAAATAAAACGTTAAACTACTCGAGACATTTTATTTTTTTTTATTTTTTTCACGTTCACAAAGGACTTCGCTTTGGCTTCTCTGGCCCCCCGGGGGGTAAACACACAGGTGGGCCTGGGTTCTCGGATTGAAACTCCTGCTCTGTCTGAAGTCGAGCTGATGAACCCGTGTGCAGTGTTATCCCAGACGTGACGTGCGGCGGGGCGAAGCGGCTGCTCCTCGCGGCCAGGCGAGCCGGTCACATGACCCAACAAGCCCGTGTGCTCCAATAGGAGCGAGGAGGAGAGCAGGAAGTAAGGAGGCGTTTCCGCAAATCTGAGCGCTGCCTGCTTACAGTGTGTGTTTTGCCAATGCATTCATCGGGAGGAGGACGTGAGATTTTTTTTTGCTTATCCTGTGATTTACTGTGGGAGGCCAACTGAGGGTGTTGGCTGGTGCCGCTTTGCTGCCGCTGCTCCGCTTTCACTGTCGCGACGCTCAAGGGCGGACCAGCGCGGCGGCCGGGTGAGTGTGGTCGGGGGTCGCCCTGGGGGCTTGCCCCAGGTAAGGTCACGGCACCCAGCGCCTGGCTCCTGCACCTCTGCTCAGCGTCGGCTCGTATAGGGTCTAACCTGGCGCACTGGGATACACGTCTAAGACACCGTTTCTGGGTAGGGGTTGTTAGGTCCGGCTTTCCTCCTTAAATGTAACAATCTGAACGTCGGACTCGGGGGTGCTAAAGGCACATTCCTGGATCGTGGGTGGACGCTGTGTTGTGAAATACCTTGTTCAGGGCTGACTGAATTGCTGAAATAAATCATTCAAACAATTTTGCGTTTTAATTCACGAAAAGACTTCTGAGGTGAATTGTTCATGAATGACTCTGTAGAGTGAATGGGTATTTAGAAAGAAAACATTTCGTCCTGTCGGTTTTGTTTCCAAAAGAGCTTGTCAAGGTCACAGGTCACAGGTTGCTCAATGACAGGTTTACAGCCGGACTTTGTCCTTTAGAGCACTGTCCTTTGGTTTAGAAATGAGCAAACAATTCCAAAATACCTTGTATCTACGTCACAGTTTTAAACCAAAACGATCTCGCAGTTCTTACCATATAATTGCATACAGTAGGTGCTTCACCTTCCGTTGAGTGTGAATGTACAGCCCACCTGGGTGACGCACAGCAGCCCCACTGCACAGCCCATCTGGTGGAAACACGAGACCTTCACCATTTCAGAAAGTGGGCCACATTTAACAAGCGCAGAGAGAAGCTTTGGCCAGGACTCTGGTGTTAACACCTCCGCTCTTACAAACAGCGCTGGGAGATCTTTAATGACTTGGTAGTTAGGATGTGGGTTTAACTTCTTACCTGGAGGACAGCACTACCTACAGCTTCCCGATCTTCCATGCCTGTTACTCTGATTACGTGAGATTGTGAGTGAGGATTTCTTGTTGAGAGATTTGATTCATACTGATTTAACAGCCTGAGCTGTATTGTCCATTGTCACTCTCTTTTCATTTCTGCAATTGAGAGAAATTAATGACTCCCTTTTCTAGACATATTTAACATTTGGAAACCTAATAATTGCGAATGGTAATAGTGATATTGACTGTAGTGTGGCTAGATTTGAAATTTTTTTAGATTTACATTTCAGAATCTCAGCGGGTGGGAGTGAAGGGTATTTATTATGGTCATTTAATTGTACATTTCTTCCTTATTGGGATGTGATTATAGTGTCCTGTTAAGAGTATAAGAAAGGTTACTAACGAGAGGAAGATATTCAGCTCATATGGACTCTTTGATAGTGTGCAGTAGGGTCTCATCTAATCTTCCCTTGAAAGAAGCCAAAACTACAGCTTCAAGCACCTGGCTGGGTAGCTTGTTCCCCAGTCCGGCAGCCCTTCGTGGATAAAGAAGAGCTTCTTTTCCTGGGTTTGAATACACTCCCACATACAGTAGTCTCCGTTTGTGTCCTCTTGCTGGTGTTTCCCTGTTCATTGTGAAGAAGCCCACAGCGTTGATGTTTTGTTACTATAAAAATGTTTTGCAGATGCACGGAAAGAGTATTTTCAATTGTAAATGTGTAATATGTCATAGTTCAGTGTAATGCACAAGAGTTTAGTGCAGAGTTACAGTTTAGTGGTTCCTATGGTGCTGGAAACAGATGAGAAACGCAGGAAATGGAGAATACTACAGAAGCACTGCAGGGAAGCTTTTAAAGGCGTAAGACACATAGTGATATTCACTCCTGCTCCTGCAGTCCACCAGAGTTTACAGGCAACTTATAATCCTCAGTGAAGAAAGATCAGGGAACAGTAAACAACTGCTGAAATGAAATCATTAGGAGTCCAGGGTGGAATGAAAAGCAGAGCACATGTTGCCCCCTTCAGAGGTGAATAGCACAGCTAGAGGGGTTTTATGCTTTTGGAACTGGCCTATTGTGCATCGCTGCTGGGCGAATCCTGGTCTCGGCTGGCGAGTGATGAGTCCTCTCGTAGACGTCTGTTAGGGGACTGTTAAGCGATACATTTACAAACTGAACAGAGTGGACCTGAATTCACTGTTTCCATTGGTTTCTTCATGTGTATTCAATTGCTTGTGAAGGACCGATTCGGTCACTGATGCAGAGAGTGGTGAGTATAGGGGGTTGCTGATTGAAGCTTGTTTAAGACATGGGGTTCTAGATTCTGTGCAAAGGAATTGATGAGCAGGACCAGCTTTTGTGTGTAACATGTCCTGTTTGCTGGTGTTGTAGGAGAAAACTCCAAGCAAGGTTTGACCCGAGCAGCTGCCTAGAATAAAGCTGAAGCAAAGGTGTGTTTTCTTGTTGTTGTTTTTTTAAATACTTGAAAGCAGTTCTTCACAGCTGGCTAAGGTGTGAAATGAGCCATATTTTTTTAATAAAAGAAACGCATACTAAATCTGGCATGTCCTCTTGTTTGATGTGTTTAAGACTAGGTGTTTTTTTTTATGTCACTAGTTGTATGCTGTGAATTTTAAGCACTATTATTTTGATAATACTGACTTTTCAGCAGTGCTGAAATTACTTTTCTGTATAGACTTCTCATATTAAATATTTAAAAGAATGTTACTTGTTTAACTGGATTTCAATGGAGAGTATGTTTAGTGTGCCTGTCAGTTTCTTTTCACTCTTGTATTATCGTTAAATAACATTTTTCTTCACAGTACCCCAGATATGTCTGTTTAAAAATCATTCTATTCAGGGAAGGACTTCAACATCTTGTTTCAAGCTGCATGAAATTGTTCTATATTCAATGTCATCTAAACATGTTAATTCAGCAGGCGAAGATATCCAAGTTTTCATATGATTTTTCTTTTATTCCACGAACATGTTTTTTTTTACCTTAAAAAGTCATGTAGGAGTAGAATTTCCATCTTTTAACCTCTAGATGTTTTTCTGACTCAGGTAGTAGACCTGTGACAATTCCTTTGCAGTACAAACACAAGTGCAGACTGTGCCGAGTTGGAGATCAAAGTGTTGGGTGCCATTGTATGATCATTGTGCACTCCCAATAAAATGTCGTAACTTCTTGCCACAAATATCAGAGTGGCTTCCTGAGCCATAAAATGTACCTTCAGGGCTAGAAGGACTGTTTTCTAGCCGTCCTTGATGTTTCAGTTATGTATAACTAATTGTTACTTAGGGGCAGGTGTATATAAAGGTTTGTTCTAATTAATAAAAATGTGACTAAATAAAACTGTTACCTCATTTAAAACATGCATGATATGATTATTGTTGGAGGCTAAGGAACACACCACACAAAGAGTGATAGGGTTTATAGAATTTATTCATTCCTTCATTTAAGCAGATACCGTAAGTCAATTTTAAATAAATTCTCATTTACAAAAATGGCCTGCGGACCCAGGTATACAGCTGGGCAAACAGACCTCCTGGGGTTTGAATCCATGACCCTCTGTTCATGTGTCAAGAGCCCTGACTTCTACTTCATAATGCTGCCTGTCTTCATGGCGATAGATGGGCATTGAGCTGAAGACACAAGGAAAACATCAAGTGCTAGTAGTTAAGAAAGAACAGGTTGTTTTACTTGTTACCTCTTTGGCTGGATGCCATGGGCCTGGGATCCATTCTTTGTAAAGGTTTTCTTCAGCTGAAGGAGTGGTTGAATATAACTGCATGCAGTACCTGAATGAAACTCTAGATATAGATATAGGCTGTGTTTGACTTGAAATGTTGAAACGCAGGTAAATTTATTTATTTTTATCCCCAAACGAACAATGTAGAACAGCAATTCTTTTTAATTCCACTCAGTTAACACTCCCTTTTTGTAAAAAAAAAAAGTTTATTGTGCCATATAAGCTTTCAGTCTGATTCAAAGGAGATTTACCTACAGAAAGACATCATTCCCCTCTTGAGAGATTTTGCCATTAAACTATTGAAAATAATTTTAGGTTTTAGTCTGAAGAATTACCAGACTGACTGGTGATTGGAGCTCTCACGTACATGAAGTAGTTAATCAGCTGGTTAGCACTGTGAGACACAATTTCTTATTCCAAAGAAGCGATTAATTATACCAGTTGTTCTAAGAATAATTTATTTCAGAGGGCTTTGGAGAACTCAGTTCTCACAACAGCCACCCACTGCCCTGTCTGACTAGGCAAAAGCTTTGTAACTAAATTCTGTTTCTAATCATGTCCCAGGTATGGCCAGCCAATCACCTGTCATTCCACAAAACAGTATAAGCTAAATTATATTTAAGAAGAATATTAACTCTGAATGCCTTTGCTAAACAGAAAATTATATCTTCTCTCTGGTTTAAAAGTTTCAGTACGAGAGAGAGAACTTTGTCATTTAGCAACACGATCGGAAAGAAATTTCTCTGTTGCAGGTTTTTGCACACAAGCAATTCAAACAAAAGAGCAGTCATCTAGCTCGTTAGGTAGTAGATAATCCAAGAATCACATCCATCTTTTTCTTAGAAGAACCCAGAGCACCGGCTTTAATAACACGACTGGGTAGCATGTAGACTCCCGCTTATCCCAGTCATGAGAAAATGCTTGGTATTAGAAGCACTCTGGTTATCTCATCCTGATGCAGGGATAGATGCTCTTGTGTGGATTTCCCAAGCCTGATGCGTGTGTTTGGATGATCTTGTGCCTTCCAGGAAGGCGTCATGGCCAGCTTCCAGATCCGAAAGTACCGGGACGAGGACTACGAGACGGTGAAGGAGATCTTCACCCTGGGCATGAGCGAGCACGTGCCAGCCGCCTTCGTGCACCTGCTGAAGCAGCCCCTCCCCCAGATGGTGCTCATGTGCGTCTTCTGGGCCCTGCTGGCCAGCTCCAAGTCGCTCGTCTTCCCTGTCATGGCCGTCACGCTGCTGCTGGCGGGAGCCCGTCAGGGGCTGAACTGCATGTTCAGCAGCTACATTGAGCAGTGTCTGCGGGAAGACCTCCGCGACATTCGGAAGAGCTACATGGGAGGCCAGGACTCGTGCTTCTGGGTGGCGGAGAGCGAAGGCGGCGTGGCCGCCACTGTGGCCTGCTGTCCCTCCGAGAGGGAGCAGGGGTGCTTGGAGCTGAAGAGGATGTCTGTGAAGAAGAGTCACCGGGGCCAGGGCATGGCCAAGGCCCTCGCCCAGACCGTGGCGGACTTCGCCAGGGCGAGGGGCTACGAAGCCGTGCTGCTGGGCACCTCCGTGGTCCAGTACGAGGCCCAGAAACTCTACGAGGGAATAGGCTACAAAAAGACCAACGAAACCCTCGTGCCAAATCTCGTTGGTAAAGTGACCAACTTCACGATTTTCGAATACAGGCTGGACGTGTTGGAGAGAGAGGCGTAGGGGGAAAAAAAAACAACTGGCTCGCGGTCCGTCTCCTCATTTCAGGACGCTCTGGGATACAGGTGGCTTCACACCTGCTCATTTGAATTGTGCGGAATAAGATTCAGACGCGAGCTTCCATTCTGATGAGAATTATTGGACCCTCCTTTTAAGTCATAAGTTGTGTATGTGACTTATTAAGCCAGAACATGAATCCTGTGAAAGATACTTTAGTCATTCTTGAGTTTGCCTGCTAAATCATCAGTCAATATTAATTGCTCAGTAGCAAGATGACAACTTGGCGCCTGTATTAGAAATGTGTAATAAACTTTATTAGGGGCTGTGTAGGGGCTGAAATCTCCATTACTTCCTAAGCGGATGTACTGTAAGCATCTGAGTGTTTTTAATACAGGGTCCAGAAGGCTGGGCCAGTTAGGTGATTTATGAACAGATGTGAGAAGAATACTTCAAAAGCTCTGCTATTTGCTTTTTGTATTAATGGAAATATTTTTTTCAGTTTTTTTTTTTTAAATAAACATTTAACCATGGCCTGTAAAAACGTATGATACATTTTCTCTTCATTCTTGATTTCTCTTGATGTTGAAGTATTCCTGCAGTGTTCCAATGTGTTCTGAAATAGCTCATGTGGGTAGATTTCTTTTCTTCTCTTTTCAACATGGAATAAACCTTTACATGTTCTGAAGGAGCCCTGCACTGAGCTGAGGGTGTCTGCTGGTCTCCATCTCCAGATTTGCTTAGATAGTGTTTAGAGCCTATCGGGGACGAGGGCAGATAAATATATAGACCATTGTTTGAACAAGGGCCTTCCTGAAAAATCAAGAAATCATGCATGCATGGCAGGGAGTGGTGCTTCTGTTTGGCTCCCTAAGGGAGAACAGTCTACAGGAGCCATTGTGGAAAGGGCTGGGGAGTCATGTGGTCTCTGTTCCTTTAGTGGCATGGCTACCAAAGCTCTGGCCTGTTGAGGCACCGAGGCTTGAATGCAAAGATCAGTCACTTACATTAGGTGATTTACTCAGTGTTTGCTCATACTCCTAGTTTGGTATCATCTGCAAATGTAACTAGTTTACTAGTTAGCCCAGAGTCTGCTCTACGTCACAACAGCAGTGATCCACAGATTGTGTCACCCCAATTTGAGTATTCACCCCTTATCTTTACTGTTTCCATTTATTAACTGAATCTCAAGCCAAACACCCAGGGCCCTGTCCCAGAATGCTCTGTATTGAGAGAATTATTCTTTTTATAGGGAATTAACCTTTCTAAGGAGTCTTTCATTGGAGTATTTTATTGCCTGCACTTCCTCATAATCCTCTGCACGTGGTTAAAGTATTGTTCTGCTGTATTAGTCGTCTGAGCTGTCTGCTAACTGCCTTGCTAGCTGAGTGTGTTTCGTAAAAGGCGTCAATCTCTTTGACTGCTAGAAAAAAAAACACACTTCACCTAGAGAATATTAATTGTTAGGAGTATTTTTAAAAGCTGTGTTTGATAGCACATCATTTGTTGTTGCTTCTGTTTCATTTACTTTTAATGTAACTCAAATCAACAGCAGGTACAAGACTTTATAAACACCTCACCAACCCTGTTCTGTTTTGAAATTTTGCTTTAGTTTAATTTTGCGTTTAGTCATCAATTCAGAAAGGTAGTCTTGAATTTTAATTTAAATCTAAGGCCCATTCAGGCTGTAATGGGGGTTCTTGTCAGTGCTTGAAAATCAATTAGCACTGTTTTCTCTTTATTTCATGAAAGTTATGCAATCGAACACAAGATCAGTTACAACAAAGAGGTGTCATCATTTTTTGTTAGTATGTGATTGATCCGAGAATCTTCTCCAGACATTTCTGGAGGAAAATTGGAGTATCCATTTTCCATAATGTGTTGTTCAAGACTCCCACAACTCTTGGTGTAAAGGACTTTCTTTTGTTCTTAAATGCATTTTACCTTAAATTCCGTATGTGTGCTATGGGTCATGTTTCACTCTGGAGTCCTAGACTCCTTTAAGTTGATTTGTGAATGACTTTGAGGATTTGGGGTACTTGAATCAAGTCTTGTTGCATTGTCTTTGTTCAGGGCTAAAGTGAGTCAGTTCCTTTACTCTGTCAGTGTAAGAGATTCCTTTAAGGTCAGCAATAAACCTGTCCTTATTTGGACTGATTCCAGTGCAGCTACAGTATGTCATTCATGAAGTGTGGTGACCAAAGCTCTAAAATGCATATTAAGTCTGTTTTCTGCTTTTTGATTAAAAATAGTACAGCATTATCATATTATAGAATGCTTTAAATACTTCTCTTCTATTGTTGTTCTTTCCAATTCAATAAGAGTCAATTGTGAATCGGTAACTATTTAATATTTTTGTGGGGCTGGGTTGATATGGAGGGATGTTTTCTGTTGACACTGTGGAGCCACAGGAGTATTATGATCATTATGATCAGATAGAGTTGATGCTGTTTGGTTCACAACTTTGCCTTGTTCCAGATCGGGAGATAAGACATTATTAATGTTAATTGCAAACAAGCAGTTTTTAACAAAAAGAAATCAAAAACGCATATTCAGTATTAGGTTTGTATTTATCAATGTCGAAATTCTTCAAGAAAAGAGTTTTTTTTTAGAAAGAAGGACAGAAAATAAAAGGAAAACAGTCTCATTCACCATGTGAGATTAGTGAGATTCCCCGTTGTGAGGCGTGCACTGTATTTGGTTTGGCCTACAAATGTTGTGTTTGTCATGGTGTGACAGTTAGGAGGCTATCAGCTACTGATAACTGGTGTGTGGGGAGTGTACTGGTGCACTCTGCTGCTGTTGCAATGGGTGCAGCTACACATTGGTGGTGGAGGGGAGTCCCCATTACCTGTAAAGCACTTTGAGGGGGGAGTTCAGAACAGTGCTATATAAGTGTGAGGAATTATTTATATTATCATTTAACATAGGATGTAAGAAGGCAGGATGGCAATTCTTCCTCGTTTTTTTAGTAACTGAAAATTGTAGAAATCCTCTCTCTCTTTCTTAGTTCTTGAATAAAGAGGGACAGCTGCTGTTCCTAAACGTTATATAGACTCACACCACAGACCCTACTCATGGTTCCTTCCACCTGCAGAAGAACAGACTGAGCTCTTGAATAGAGAAGACTATGAATCTTGACTGACTTCTTAAAGAACTGTGCAGAAGTTCGACCCAGTAGCCTACAGAATCAATAGTGCAACACAAATCAAAGCACCAAAACTGAAACTATTTGGAAGTGCATTTAAAACGAAGAACGGTAGGCACCCCAATACACAAAGCGGTTTGGTGGTCTGGATAAGGCTACCCCAGCCCTGATGTTAAAGCTAATGCAGTGGCTTTTTTCAGGATAGGGCTAGATGATATTGGCAGGTTAGTTAGCTTGCAGTATGAATAGCCTCTATTTGACATTTCTTGTCTATCTGAACACACATCAGTTATTATGTAACAAGTAATACAAATATTTAAGGTAGCACAAACATAAAAGATAAAAAGCTTATTTGTTTGTGATTTATTAAACAAGGAAGAACTGTACTAATGATTGAATAAAAAGTACCACTTATAACTACACTGAATTTAAAACAATATCAAAACTTCTTTTTTCTGACAATGTTTGAATTTGTGATTTGAGAATAAGCTTTGATATGTTAATGAACATCTTAAACCCTCTTTACAGTATCTTTACAGGATATTCCTACAGTTTTTTCTTGTCAGTTCATTTAGCTATTGAGAATCTGTGAATTAAATTTGAAGACAGAATTACAAGATCTATTGAAATATTCTTGTTGGATTTGAGAACAAAACTTTAGCCAACAATCTTTGCATGACATTTGTTTTCACTTTCAGTTTACTTTCAGATTTGAATAAAAATATCTAAGAGCCTACTTGCCCCCCTGTGCTGGAATGAAATGCGCACTTACTTTTCCATCTGAATGCCAGCTGTTATAGAGAAGAAAAGTGTTCCTTGTCTCACGGATAAAAGAAATGAAGACACAAGCTGTTGATTGGGTAAAGATGATCTGGTAAGCAGAGGGAGTGGTCGGAATATTCTGGGTGGAAAGCTTTGAACTTCACAGTAGGTTAGGAAGAAGTGAGACAAGACACCTTAATCTATACGACAGGATTTGTGTGCAACATCCCTGCACTTCATCAACTCCTCTCTTCCTGTTTTCTGTGGGTTTTTTGCTTTGTGTTATTATTATTATTTGCATCCTGACCGTGTTTTTTTTTTTTTTTTTGGTGGCTTTGGATAAAAGTGTCTGCCGAGGGAATCGATGGATGTGAAATCTTGGGACACCCAGCTGAATGGCACTTTTCCCAGGAGGACTCTGTGGCCGATGGGGGAAATTGGCACCGCATGCCCCCGGAGTGGTGGGCCAGCAGTGCTCCTGGGGAGACCCGTCCCAACATCACCGCCTGCTGCAGGAAGCCAGAGCACCTGGCCCAGCCTCTGTGTGACCCGCCGCTGGAGACGGCGATCTCTTCCTGTTCAACAGCTGACCGGGCGGAAACCAGGGGCCATGAGGCCCATCTAGCCTGTTTGATAGTTAGCAGACAACAGATCCAAGGATCTCATCCAGCTGCCTCTTGAAGGAAGCCGGGGAGTCAGCTTTAACAAAATGGCTGTGCTGCTTGTTCCAGGCTCCAGGAGAGGATATATCTCACAGTCCTTTCCATCTTTATGATTTATTTTTCCAGCATCAGGATCTTACAAACCAGGGTAATAAAAAGAAAGAAAAAGGACATGTAACAGTCTGCCAATGAAAAGTTCAACTTTTGTTGACCTGCCAACGAACGTTCAGTTATTGGTAAGGTGCGACAAATGTGGCTTTGAGGGATTTATAATAATCATCATCATCATCACTTAAAAATTCAAAATGTTGTATATGTTAACAGTTATACTGTATGTGGTGCTTCCAGTGACTAAACAAAGATTATTTGAACAGCTTGTTGTCTATGGTGTCTATGTGTTTTCTCCACATCACACATGATTCCTTTAATATCTTTGTATTGCAGCATACATGCAAATGAGCATTGATTCAGGCTTGACATTCGACCCACATGTGCAGCATATTGTGAAAACATCTTTCTTTCACCTAAGAAATATAGCTAGACAATGCCCTGTTACCACTAACTGTGGTTGAAAAGCTGATCAACACATTTGTGTTTTCCTAAATTGACTACTGTAATGCTCTCCTCGCTGGGGTATCTAAATCCACATTGAACAAACTCAAGTATGTCCAAAGTTTGGCATCAGAATCCTGACCACGTCTAGTGCAAGTGATCACATTACTCCTATCCTGGAGTCCTTGCACTGGCTTCCTGTCAAGTTTCCTGTTGACTTAAAAATCCTCATGCTCACCTATAAGGCTCTGCATGGCTTGGCACCTCAGTACCTGTCTGACCTATTATCGCCCTGCTCCCCACCTCGCAACCTTTGCCCTTCTAATTCTGCCCTCCTAACTGGCCCCTGAGCCCGTCTACACTCTGGGTGACAGGGCCTTCTCCTGCTATGCCCCCAAGCTCTGGAACTCTCTCCCCAAGGATA